TCACCTTACATTAATATGCCAACTATAATCCTACCTAGTCAAAGATAGCCTATCCAGTTATCCAAGCTCTGTTGTCTAGATTACTACAATGTATTATATCTGGAGCTGCCTTTAGTAAAGGTTCAGGAATTTCAGCTCATCCAAATAGGGCAGTGCGAGTGTTAGTAGAGGCTGGCCAATATGAACATAGTATGCCAATCCTGCCCTGTCTGCACTAGATATCATCCATTTCCAGTCCTGACTCAGTGTGCAGGTATTAACATGCAAAGTTCTTACGCAACTTGGGGCCAGGTTACCTGAAGAATCATCTCTTCCCATATACACCAGGCTAGTGCTAAGATTATCTTGTTATCCTTTATCAAAAAATAAAAACCTCTTGAATCTGTTTTCTAGGTAGATCGTAATGCTCAGACTCTTTTATATGCTCTTTGACTAGATATGAGTATGTTGATATCAGATGTCTAGCTGTGGACACCTCTAAGATACATACGTCTGTTAAATTTCATCAGAAGAATACGCAACTCAAAAGGAGATGTGTAAGATACGTTAAACTGTATAAGATTACAAAGCAGACTATATATAAGAAAAGTCTCTTCTCCTATGTTGTACCTACAAGAATGTGAAGGTTCCAGTTACGCATTTCACATTTTGAAGATTTCTATTATGCAACATTACTTGTAAACAATGCCATGCTTATTCAAGAGTTTAGCACTGGCCATTGAATCTGATATTATATTCTCATCATCAGCCCTAAACATGTCTTACACATCCCTCCTAGTCATGGTTTGAATGCCAACACAGTCCTACCATGTTATCTAATACTTGGCCTCATGCTCATACACATGTATTCTCAAACATTTTTATTTAAACGTCATTTTAATTGTTAACAATATTTGCTTATTTATCTGGCCAGGGCGACTTCTTTTATATTTTTTATTTATTTTATATTGTTAATTTTAATTTTATATTGTTATTTTTGTATTTTATTGTATTTTATTGTGTTGTAAGCCGCTCCGAGGCTTCGGCAAGGGGTGGCATAGAAATGTTTTAATAAATAAATAAATAAATAAATAAATAAATAAATAAATAAATAAAACATATCTGTGACACATCACTAGAATACATAGAAAATGAAAGTCTTTTGATCAGAAGTTAAACATAGCTGCAATCTCCCTCTTTTACATAGTCAGCTTCACCCACATTAGAATGGCAAAATGCCAATACTGATAGCCAGGTTCCTCTCAATGCATTCCTCGAGGGGGTCCATGCACAACCCTTTCCTAGTCCATCTGTTCATTTTACAAGAAATGGAATAGTCAGCACTGATTACACTAACAGAGGCAGCCCACTAAAAGGCTTAACAAATAGACCACACGCTACATGTTATCCTTTGAAATGCTACTTTATGCTGCAGATTATTTTACTTGTATCACAGGAAAATGTTCTTATGTCCAAGAAGCAACTCTGTTCCATCAGCTTTGTATCACACAAATGAGACTGAAGTCAAGTCAGAACTGTTTTTCTTTGAGCAGGTTTGTAGCAGTTGATTAACTGCTGTTCTTGGCTTTTAATTTGGCTGTTGATAATGTTAAATCATCATTTTTGTTTTCTGTGGATAGGGCTCCTTCCACAGTTTTAGCAATGTATGAGGTTTCATGTCAATCCATTTTACCATGCCAAATTCACTCCATGGTGAAATCCGGGTTTAAAAATTAGTAAGAAACTATTTTCAGTGTAGACTTGGATAGGTAAATAGATTTCTATCTTATGGATCATTGTAATTTCAGGTTGTGTGTGCCAGAAACATTTGCTTGCTATGGCAGAATAGCGATATTTGTAATTACAACATTTGTTAGAATCAAGGTTTGGCTCTGCCACTTTTACCATTTCAAAGTCTCCTTTGCTACTGGAAGTACTTATAAAGATCGAGCAGATAACCAATAATCCATGTTTACAAATACTTATTACTGTTGGCTAAGTAAGATCTACAGCACATTAAGCAAGAAGAGAACAGAGACTTAACTCTCCTGTTTTGCCCTAGCCACCAGATTGCTGCTTTAGTGTCTACATCTGAAGAGCCATTGGACCTTAGGTTATGTCTCATTCAACAAAAACTTTCATTCCACATTTATTGGATGCCACAAGATCTCTTTAATAAAGGTTTGCCTAAATCAGGTAATTGCTGGAGGTGCAACAAAGCTACTGCTCCATTTAATCACATGCTTTGACAACGTCCAATAGTTGTCTCTACAAAAGAAAAAAATATATACTACAGAAACATTTTGTACTGGAACACTCTAACATTAACTGCTGTGCGTGTTATCTTAAATTCTCTTCATATGCTTTGACAATGTCCAATAGTTGTCTCTCCAAAAGAAAAATATATATATACTACAGAAACATTTTGTATTGGAACACTCTAACATTAACAGCTGCACGTATTATCTTAAATTCTCTATCTTCCTGGAATTAGCTCATGGTCAGTGTAAATGGATTCTCCACATACTTCTGACAACTAAAAGACTAATATTAGGAAACTGGAAGGATAAATGCTCAACTCCTATAATGCAACGGCTTGAAAATCTAGTAGTACTTTCAACATTTGCATGGATGCTATGTACATGCCACTTGCAAATTGCTCTACTTATGTACTGTTGAAGCTTAAAGGTAAAAGCTTTATTTTTGTATTTTATGCACACATACAGTGCACAAGCACTATTTAAGCAGAATTCTCCAAATTTATGTAGTTACATGTAAATATCAACAAAACAAAACCATAAACAATAATCAAAAATTGTTCAACCCAGAATATTAACAATACCATTACTCTGCATCACTTCTTCCTATGAAACAGAAAAGGTACACAGTTTTTATTTTTATTTTTTTAATTTTAAGGCTAGGGCTGTACAAAACTCACAGCAAGTAAAATTACAAGGAACCAATTCAGCACTAAAGCACACAACTGTTTTTTATCTTAACGTAGTTAATTTGACCAAAGACCATAATTGCTTCATTGCAACAACAGGATCCAAATATCTCCATTACTGATTCCAGTATAATAGTGGACATAAATAATTACCACTACTATCAATCTGTGCTGAAGTAGTCAATCAAGTCAAAATACAGAAACAGCTGAGACAATATAGATTAAATCTTGTTTGATTTGTGATCATTTTGAGCATTTTAACTCAACAAGGTATGTACCCCCATGAGGTAGGTTGGCTCCATGTCACCCAGTTGGCTCCATGTTTGAATGGAGACTAGAACCCAGATTGCTTGAGTCCTAGACTTGCACTCTTAACTACTACACCACACTTAAGTTTGTATTTGTTATAATGAATCAAACACAGCCCACTGACTTCTTTTAGCTGCCATAGAGAATAAAATCATTCAGATATATTCTTTTACTATTGTTATAGTGAATAATAAAATGAAATGTCATAATTACTGCAGACATAATTCTTAACTCTTAACCTGAATATAGCCTCAGACAACATTACTTCATCAATTTGGTTTGCTTGTTACTGTATCACTGAGATCTCATTAGCCATATCCTGTTGCACTCCTCTACAAAACACCTGCATACAACACTACGTAAGTCTCAAATGTGCAAAACAGCATCTCAAGAGAGTTGTTTTTCTCTGTTCATCCAGTATGTATCATTATATATACAACCGAAGTAGCAAATCAAGTATAATTCTAAATCTAACATTTCCCTGAAAAGTCCCCCAAGAAGATGCACAAGCAATCCTTTGTGTGTAGACAGCTGTCTTATCCACTTAGGAGAAAGAAGAATTCTTACAAATGAAGAAATCTCCATACATTTGTGAGCCTCAAGCTATGCAACAGAGCTGAGATATATGCAAGACTGGCCAAAAAGGGTTGAAATCCAACCGAGTCTGTCCACCAACAGAGCAATAGTATCTGTTGTATTAGTGGAACAGATACCACTCTTCCTGTAGCTTTCTCATATGCACCCCATGAAAGTTCTTCCTGGTTTTGGGGTAGGGGGGAAAAGTCAGTCTGCCCATGCAACAGTGAATACTGCTTTTATTTATTTCTAGTAGAAGCTAATATACAAGTCAAACAACTGTAAACGTTTACGCTTATTCTAAGTTAGTACTGGTTATGACAGATAAAGCCTTACACTACTTGTGACCAGGCTATTGAATAACTGCATTCTCTCATGTGGGCATACACAGCTTTTAAGAGCATCAAGAGCGACCCTTATCTTTGCCATCATCAAAGGCAGATTCAGCAAGATTGCAAGAAAGGGCCTCGTGGGTTGCTGTTCCCAGTCTCTGGTACTCTTTGCCAAGAGAAAGCTTTTTTGTCTTTCTAATGGCAGGCAAGTAGAATTTCACTCACAAAAGCTTTTGACTTTTAAGCTGTTTGCTAAGTCCATTTTAACAGGTTGGTGCCGATATATTTTAACTACTTTGATGTTTTAATTATAATGTATTTTAATCTTATAGTTTAGTGTTGGTTACATTGAACACAATTTGTGATGGAACTATAGAATGAATCATGGAGTAATACTACCATTAGGGTCAACAAAAAGAATTTGTAAATAGTATTTTATCACTTCCACAAACATTTTAACAATGGCCATATTATTTTTATTGCAGAAAATATCAATTAGTAGTTTCTATATTGTAGGAATAGTATTTGAATGTCACCTTCACCTCCAGAACTTGCAGAATTTTACTTAGATCATTCTGTAACACTTTCAAGCTTTAATAAATGAAAATATGTACATCCATACAGAGTTTTTCTGCTGTTTTCTTTGCCATTTGGCATAGTAAGAACACTATTTCTTCAAACAGTATTTACAAAGCAATGCATAAAGAGCTATTGTGTCAAAATATCTGCATATTGGCAGATAACAATTTGAAAGAAGGAACAAAAGAAACATAAATACTAAACTTAAAAATGAAATAGTGTTAACAGGAACATGAATATCAACATGCATTATACTAGCAGTATTTTAAAGTATTTACCTTTGCCAATCCAGCACGATGAGCACCTTTTGATTCCATGTAAGCCAAGTACTTGTTAAACTCCCTGAATTCATCCATTGTAGGACGAAAAGTCATGATTTTACAGCTTGGATTCGGTGGAGGGTCCAATGACTGAGCAGCCATGGCTGCTCTGTGTTGCACCTATTAGTAAACAAGCATAGAAGAAGAAGAATGTATATGGAAATGGAAAAAATAAATGACTTGAAAATGCAGTATATCAATTCAGATAAATTTAACTGCAAACCATGGCATGTCTCTAGATGCTGTTCCTGTAGTAATGTTGTGCTCCCCCCACAAAAAAAGTTATGAGGAGATCAAGAACAAAGATTGAAATAAGATGGTTTAGACACAGCTGAGAAGTCTGAATACTTTCAGATTAGTCACTGTTCCTTCCACGATTTTCCATATTGGCCTCCATTATTTCAATTCAATTATATATGGTAGTAAGTTTGACTTGGATGGTATTTCATTCGCTCTATTCTTTGTTATGGAAACAAAATCTCACACAGAAGAATTCCACATAATTTTCATGGAGACTCTTGATCTTGCTATCCAATTCATAAAATGAAATGCTCTCCATACAACATAATACAGTCCTGACCTTTTCAGTGTATATGTGCAAGAATTCAGCAAACTAGGCATTATGGGGGAGGTGAGATATGCCATATTTAAACAGCCCTTCACTCACTGAAAAAATACAAATTCTGAGCTAGAGAGGATAGGCAACATGTACACAACTATTCTGACACACAGTGGTCCAGCAAATATCTGTTGACATGCTATGGAGGAAGGTGGATGGTAGGAAAGGGGTTTATACACAGCCCTTCAAGAATAGGCCCAGAACCTGTGTGTTTCATGTTGTTTGTTAAGGAAACATTAAAAGCCATATAATTCATTATTTAGGACAAGCTCCCGTTTTAGAAAAGTATTGAAGCCATACCAGGGCACTAGTATTGAACAATAAATGTGAATTCTGCTTTTTATTTATATTTGCTGTTCAAAATGGAAAGTTAAGAAACATTTTACTTGGTATATCAAGAAAATTCTGACCAAGTGTGTGAGGTTGGGGAAGACTGTGGAGGGATTAAAAGTATAATTTTTACCTGCTAATTTGATATCTGTCGTCTACATCAACACAATAAACAGGCTTCTTTCCACCTATATACAGAGGAAAATGTACAAAGAAAGTATTTTTATTACTGCTGATTTATAAGTAATAACACTTTCATATTTTCACATATGTAACAAAATAATTTAACAGTTTTATAAATGTACAGTTCTGTGAAAATGAATTAATTGTTCCATATATAGCATACCTGAGCCCTGTCAAAAGTGTAACAGTTACAATGTTGGCTCCAGTTTGGGAATACACCTAAATGTATTTTGTATACATAAATAAATGTATTTTGACTTCTAACATGAAAGTACCAGCAGTTTTTAATTTTAACTTTTTCTATATTGTCCAACAGAAAACAACTACGAAAGATGTAAACTTTATGAACTGAAGCAGCTCCAGAAGCTGCTGCTACATTAAGGAAATTAGTCAATGACAAGAAGGCGTTTATGATGATGTATGCATTATATATTTGTATGTCTGAGTATAATAGCAGAATCATTACAATAAAACAATTAAACCTCAGTTCTTCTTGAGATATTACAATGCTATGCTGTCCAATACAATAATAGTGAAAGTGAAACTAATTTTCAAAAAGAGGAAAAATACCATTTCTATCTACACTTATATCAACGGATTTCAAGGCAAAATCCATTTAATCCTTAGTACTCCCTCTCCATCAATCCTGCATTTGTATGCCATCCCATAGTCAGAAGGCTCTCTACTCCAGAAGCATGGGGAAAACATATTTTCAACTGTTCCTGGTATCTGACATGTAATCCTATCAGTAGGCCAGGCATCAGAGAAGGTAAGGGGGAAGGAAACATCAGACAGATCAAGGTCAGATCAAGGTCTTTTGCTGGAGACGCTTTCGAGGCTTAGGCGAATGGGGCAGCATATAAGTTTGCTAAATAAATAAATAGGACAAATGTATCATGTACACATATTACCTATCTCCATACTTAGTTAATTCTTTGGTCCAGCAAACAATCAGTTCACATACTGAAATTTCAATCTGGTTGCAAGTGTGCATTGAAAGAGAAACTTCCTAACCTGGAGAAGAACTGGAAGATTCCTCAACTTCTCAGGGCACAATACTACACACTACAGCTTCCAGCATCCTTCCAGCCAATGATTTTGGCTGAAGCATGCTGGGAATTATAAGACTTATTTCCTTTCTAACTTGCACAGAATTGCACCTTTAATAGCCTTTGATTCCTCCATGGTTTTCCTCTAGATAGGCTTTCAAGATTTGGGGCTGCAGGGGCAATATTTCAATACCAATACCATTAGCGTTGATTCCAAAAGATGGAGTTAGGGGACTGAGTAAGCTTGTTCAGGAATTTGGTGGCAACAGTAAACTGATGATGCGCAACTATTTTTTTCTTCAATTCGCATACTAAACTCTTCTCTGGGATTGGTAACGGCCTGAATAAGGGACAATAAACTGAAATGAATCCCAATAATACAAAGGTATTGTTGATTGTAGTTCATGAGCCCAGAGTTATGTTATGCTGCTGAGTATTTGTTGTTTAGAAGTATTATGCATGTTTTGCATTTTATTAAGTTTACACAAACACCCATAAAAATGAAAGACAAACTAATATTTTCAAAATATAATTTGAACTAAGTGTTCTGGTTTCCAATGACATCAGCAATGATGATGTTAAATAAATACCAAGAGGGGCTAGTTGGACTGTTAAGAAATGAAAATTCCTAAGAGGAAAAAAAAAGAGCCTTTATGGCCTGTATAAAGCTCATGAATTGTCCTCCAGGTTAAGGCCATAGGGAGTAAGAGTTTTGAATCTATAATCCAGAAGTTTTCCTTTCTGTCAAACATGTCACTGTCCTTTTGTTTCTTCAGCTATCAGCAATTGTGAAACTGAGAGACTCTGCACTGAGGTAAGTTCAAATGTCTTTAAACAGGCCACTCTAGTTTTCTTTGGTAAGAATTAAAGATTTGTAAAGCACATCATACGAAAGGCTGGGCTAGATGAATCACAAGTCAGAATTAAGATTGCCAGGAGAAATAACCTCAGATATGCAGATGATACCACTCTCATGGCAGAAAGTGAAGAGAAACTAAAGAGCCTCTTGATGTGGGTGAAGGAGGAGAGCACAAAAGTTGGCCTGAAACTCAACAACAAGAAAACTAAGATCATGGCATCCAGTCCTATCACTTCTTGGCAATGAGATGGGGAAGAAATGGAGGTAGTGACAGATTTTATTTTCTTGGGCTCCAAGATCACTGCAGATGGGGACTGCAGCCAAGAAATTAAAAAACCTTTGCTCTTGGGGAGGAAAGCTATAGCAAATCTAGACAGCATACTAAAAAACAGAGACATCACCCTGCCGACAAAAGTTCATATAGTCAAACCTATGGTTTTCCCAGTTGCAATGTATGGCTGTGAAAGTTGGACCATAAGGAAGGCTGAGTGCTGACGAGTTGAGGCCTTTGAATTTTGGTGCTAGAGAAGATTCCTTAGAGTCCTGTGGACCGCAAAGAGAAAATACCAGTCAATCTTAAAGGAAATCAACCCTGACTGCTCTTTAGAAGGCTAGATACTGAAGATGAAACTCAAATACTTTGGTCATGAGTATTTGAGAAGGAAATGAGAAGGAACAACTCACTGGAGAAGACCCTGATGCTAGGAATGATTGACAGCAAAAGGAGAAGGAGACGGCAGAGGATGAGGGGGCTAGATGGAGTCACTGGGGCAGTGGGTGTGGGCTTGGGTGGACTCTGAGGAATGGTGGAGGACAGGAGAGCCTGGAGGAATGTTGTCCATGGGGTCGTGATCGGTCTGACACAACTTTGCGACTAAACAAAACAAACAAAAAGAGAGATTTGTGAATAGCAAATAGCAGTCTTGTTCTGATCTCCAGTGTAGTTTTTCTTACATATTACATATAATACCCGCTTCCTTACATGCAGTTAAATAAACCATGTTAATGAAAGTTTATGTAGCTGATTGTTGAATGCAGTAAGTTCTGTTAGTGATCATGCACCTACAAAAAGTGGCTTCTCAGAAGTAACCACAGGTAATGTAATGCACTGATTTATATAAAAATTTGGTGTTATTGATATTTGGTCGGAATATCTTAAATTAGCACTTAAGCAACAATGAGTGTTTTTCTGAATGCAATGCACAGTGAAGAATTAATGGCTTCTGTTTAAAAGCAGAATGGACTATAATAGGAAAACTATATTTCATTACCTGCTTGTTAATTAGGTTAGTAGGTCACGACAAATGGAATACAATTTTCTTTATAAGAGTTAGACTTTGCTTCATAAAGAAAGGCATCTCTGGATATTACTAATACTCATTTGATATTTTTGTCAATCCTGTGACTAGGATATCCATATTGTTAGAGATGTTCTTTAAGTTTACTACATCTTTTTGAGAAATTCTCTTCATTCTTGCATATGAATTTTATTCTAAAAGCCAGTCTACAATGCCTTGTAGAAGCATTCACCTTCCTTTCACTTTTTCATGTATTGTTGTGTTACAATCTAGAACTGAAAAGCATTTAACTCACTACATGATGCACACAAGATTCTCAATACTGTGAAGATGAAAATATTTTTGAGCAGAAATATTCAGTAAAGAAAAACAAACTGGCATTTGTTGGTCACGTAAGTATTCACCCCCAAGTCATTACATGAAAGAACCACCTTAGGTTGCAAATCACAGCAATGCATCTTCTTGAATAAGTCTCTATCAGCTTTGCTTATCTGGATCCTACACTGTTTGCCCAATTTTCCTGACAGGCTAAAGGAGCACCATTGGTAAACAGCAACTTTCAAGTCTTGCCACAAATTCTCAAAAGGACAGAGGGCTTTGATGAGACCATTTGCAGACATTCATGCTCTTTTCAAACCACTTTGCCTACATGTTCAGCATCATGGTCCTGATGCAAAGTAAGCCTCCACCTCGGTCCCATATTTCTTGAAGACTGAAACAAGTTTTGCTCTAGAATTGCCCAGTAGTTGGCTCAAACCATTGCACTTAATCCTGACCAGTTTCTCAGATCTTGCCAAGGAAAAGCATCCCCACAAGATGCTGATGCTGCTGCTGCCACCATGCTTCACCACAGAGATGATATTCTCAGGTCACTGAGTACTGTGCCAGTTACAGCATTTTGCAGCAAGGCCAAAAGTCCACGAACCCTTTTCACACATATTTGCTGGGACTCCAGCAAGCCTTTTTGCAAACTCCAAACAGACTTTAATACAGGTTTCAGCTATGGCTCTCTTTTCACCATGCTTCCATAAAGTCCAACTCTGTGAAGCATCCAAGTGACAGCTGCACTATGGACAAGTTTCTTCCACTGCACTCTTCATCTTCTTCAGAGTTACCATTGTCCTCTCGGTTGTTTCTCTGGCTCGTGGCCTCCTTGCCCAGTCACTGAGGTTTGCTGCATGACCTTCTCCAGGCAGAGTTGTTATTGAGCCTTATTTATTTATTTATTTAAAACATTTCTATGCCGCCCCATTCGCAAAGAGCCTTGAGGCGGCTTACAAAACATATTCTCTCCCATTGTGTAATAACATATGTAACAGGGCTCCAGCAGATGTTCATAGTTTTGGATTTGTTAAATAACCCAACCACACTTTGTGCTTGGTGATTATGTACTTTATCTCAAAGAGGTTGGCGTTAGCCCCTTGGTCATATATATTTGTTTAGATGTGCTCGCCAACAAACTCTGTGACCTCCCAGAAAGCAGGTATATTTAATCTGAAAAAATTTGGAACTGGAATTGCATACAGGCAGACTCTATTCAACTACAATATGTGACTTCTGGAGGCAGTGGGTTGCACCAGACCTTATTTAGGCATGTCACAGCAAACAGGGTGAATACTCATGCAAGCAACCAGTCAGTTTCAAATTCAAATGTAGCATAATTTGAAAAGTGTGTAAACAAGAACGTTAAATGTTGTGTTAATTTCTCTTTTGTTTACAAGAAAATTGTGCTGTACCTTCACAGTGTTTGAGTATCTTAAGTACATCAAATAGTAATGATGCCAGTTCAGTTCATTTCA